AAATCCAAAATGGATGCCCTTTTTTTATTTTTATTTTAGTGAACATTTTGGAAACAGTTTGAGAAGTTTACAAAGACAATTAATCTGCCTTATGCCTTATGCCTTATGCCTATAACCCATTACATGACTTGGCCCAGTGTTCTTACATGTAAATAAGATAAAAACACCCACCTATCTTTTAAATAGCGGGTGGACGATAGTTTTATCTGATGATGTGCTTGCTTATATATAGCTGCTGTCAAGTCCATTGCTAAAAACATAGAAGAGAAGTGAAAATCAAATTTCATTAGACATTGATCTGCCAATACGCTTTTAAATCTGCTGACTGTACACAATTTGCGGGTTTGACCATTTGAAAGTGACAGCTTTCTGTTAAAAAATCATGAATGCAGTCAGAAATAAAAAAAAAAATAGTATGCCACGCACTGATTAAATATTATGTGTCAAAAAGGGAAGTACATTATTCAAACAAAAATCCAACCAGATATCTCAGCAGGGCTGTTAATTTGTTTAATTGGCTATGTTTGTTCAGAGGTCAGGATGTGGCTAATCCCAACTGATTTCCCTTTGTGGGCAAAATAAGTAAATACACAGGGTTTTCGGTTTCTATTCCAATTGAACCTTTTTAGTTACATTCATCTTGGATCACCAACTATTGGTAACTAGTGGAGACCTAAATCTTCGTTTTCAGGAATGGACCAGTTTCACTTTATGCGCCTGTTCAAAACGTACTCGTTAGAATTACGAGTTAAATTTCGCTCCGTAATTGGTGCAGATGCAAAATAGGACATGTCAGTAAGTGTGTGATTATCAAAACAGATTATCAAAAATTTATCAAAATTGCATAAAAGCTTTATATATTTTTTGTTTTACAAATATCTTTGCTGTAACTTAGCAGAGGTTATACAATCAATCAATCCTACAGCAACACCACCAGTTGGGTAAACCAGTATGACTGTGAGGTGATTTCCTTTGTTTGGTTTTCATGGAGATAATCAAAATGTTACATCGCCAGGCTAAAGAATAACAGCCTGCTTTACAGGCATGTGCCTTTCACCTCCTTTGTTTAGGTATATTTCAGTGGCAGTGCCACATACAGGCTCAATACAGTAACAATTTGAAGCAGTTTTTCAAAACATTAAAAAACCACTGATTGATCTCCAGCTGCAGAATTATTAAAATCTTTTTCACAGAACGCTTGATTTTAAGAAGTTGTGCTTAATAGCTCATGTTTCTTGGCTGTGGGTGCTGTTTAGATGTATGTCAATATCAATTTCTTCACATTTAATGTGCAAAACCAGAAAGAAAAAATAAAAACTGTAATAAAATCATTTTAGAGTAGCATTAATGGGAGACTAGGTGCAACCAGTGGCTTACATGCACCACACATTGAGAACCATTGAATCCTGGGCAGTCATTACTCGAAAAGGCAGAGTGTGAATGTTTCTCACTGTCAGACAGACTTCCACATCCTGCTATGGAAAAGTTCACCGCTACATGCTGGAGCAATTCACTTCAATCCACAAAAATCCTGTTAGGAGACCTTCAAACGTGTTTCCAGGGAGATGAGGTGAAAAATATAAATATTTGCAGGATCACGCTTGAGAAGTTGAAATGAAAGCACAGAATGTTGCTGGCAAGTCCTCCAGCGGGTTGTGGCATCAAGTCCAAAAACTTTCTTTTGTAAGTTAAGGTCATGAGTGGAATAAAAGCGAAACTTTAAAGCGTTGACACAAAACTTGTTTAGGTTGGTAAATCTTCTGTGAAAGTTTGATTTACCTCTTTTAATCTAATAACAAACTTTTAAAAGAAGCAGTCCTAAAACTGTAAGAATAATTTATTTAAAAATTTGCATATTGACACTAGCAAGAATTCTTTCAGTTTAAAAGGCCGTTATGTCCACTTTAACATAAATTACATTAGAGTTATTGTACTGCTACTACTGATTAAAGCTACCAATTAGGCTTCCCCACAAAATCTATCAAACTCATGAAACCTGTCAGTCAGCTTTTCTATTTATTTTGTAATGTTGTAAATCTTTATTTTAGATCAAATGTCCCCACTCAACTGATAAGCCCATTCCTCTCTTGACTTTGGTGGCAACCGATTCAAGATCTTTTGATTTTTTTTTATTTCATTACAGTTGAAGTTTTGAAGTCAATTATTGTCGTCGTCATGATTTGTTTCAGCTTTGCCACCCAAATCAACATCCATTATAACTTTGGGCTCATCATTATAAGTGGGTCAGTCAGGTTGAAGCACTCGCAAGCAACCTGAGTGCTTCAGGATCTGTTAAAAATGACCACAAGTTGTTCAACGTTTAGTAAAACCTCTTGTGGGTTTCTGCTGCCACAAGCTCCTGCTGTGGAAATTGTTTACTTCACAGTACACATTCAGTGGAGAAAGAAAAATAAGATTTTAAAAAAAGTATCTAGATGTACTTCTGTAGAGAGAAAACTAGAATTGTATCAAAGAGTGTGAACCTGGCAGGTTACATGGCATTCAAATATTATAAGACTAAGACTTTGTGACACGAGTCTGAAATAATCTGCTGCCTAATGTGACACCTTTAATGTATTGAGCGTGCATGAGGAACTGAGCAGAAACTCCTCACAGGACGTTTCACTTCATGGGAAAATCTCAGTGTTGTAAATGTGGGCATAACATGCGTTATCCAGGCAGGATATCCACAGTCTTGTAAATTTCCAGGCAGTAATTCTCGTAAATCTCGGATGTGTTTACCCAACAACAGTGTTTCAACGCAGACGGCTCCCATCGGGCCACTCGCCTGTGCAGCTCGCAATTAGCATCCAGCGCTTGGCAGATATTAATGACGCCATTGAGAAAGGAAGAGGGCAGACAAGCACCTCTCCCACAGAAGTCATGGCCTCCTGTTTATTCATTGTGTCAGAGGTTCTTAATCTTCATCCTCAGGACCCCCAGTGCTGCTGGTTTCCATTTTAACAAATTAGATTGGGCCTATTCTCTGCATGGTTGGAAAGGCAAATTTAATTTACAACCTAGCGAGAGAGAACACTGGCTTCCTGTGTGTTGGGATTCTCAAAGAAAACATTACAAAGACATGTCAGGGATTACATTTTAATTTATGGAATGAGGAAAAATATTCAGCAAAACATGAATGGACTGCTAGGTCTCCCTGCAAGTACAAACTAAATCTAGACTTCTGTTTGATTAAAAAAAAAAAAAAAAAAGTCACGATAACTGAAAGTATTAGCATTGTGTTTAAAATCAAACAAAGTACTATACAACAATCAAACTGAATGATAAAAAAATAAAAAAATCTGAGTGAACTGAAACAACAAAATCTCAATTTAGTATAAAGAAAAAAATCCCAGTCAACTACTGTGGATTTGCTTTATTGCAATACACTATAGTCATGATTTGTACAAAAGATCAAACTCAAATAGAAAAAAAAAGGAAATTAAAAAAGACAAACATTCACTTGAGAAACGTCAATCAACGGACTCTCTTGAAGATTAGTGCTGCCACACTGTTGCCAATTCTTCCTCCAAACTTGAAGCTGGGGGTAGGCAACTCCTGTACGAATTCAAACCCTGTAAAAAACAAAAAAAACAACACAGAATACTGCCAAGTTAAGAAATACCCATCAAAACACAAGCAGTCACTCATTTCTTTTGGGCTATAAGTAACTAAAAAGAGGTTAAGCCGGCAGGAAAGTGAGACAACCATCCGTCCACCATCTGTGCTGCTTCCCGGGGTCTAGTAAAGGCAAGCTGTCAGTGTGAAAGAGGAGATCTCGAGGCTGTTCGGCCCCCTGCAGGCTCTCCAGAGTGACTGCAGGGAGACGAGTGACAACCAGTGGATGCTTGCCTAAATTTTAACTGTACAGGCCGTTGTTCCCTGCAGCTTAACAACCTGTCAAGTAATTATTGTGACTTGAGGAACTGTATGTGGTTTTTTCTGGACTGAGAGTTAGACAACAAAACAGTTTGAGATAAAGCTGCTGCATGCCAGAGACACAGCACTGGAAAAAAATATATATATTGTTGTGCCAGAGACGATCAGCAAAGTTTGGCAGCTCCTTTTCAGCTCAACTAGCATTCGTCTGAATGTGTGGTTTTGTATTATTTTAACCCAATTTTAGCTCTGAAAATAGTTAGTGTTTCCCCCAATCTCAGTATTACGAATTTCACACGTATAGCACGATTTCTCCATGTTTCACTAGGTTAAATGTAAATCATTGAAGACATAATGATTTAAATAGAAGACCTTCATGACTACTTATTTAAAAAAGAACTCAATAACCTAACTTGCTTAAAAACTTAACTAACTTTTTGTAGTTAATCTAAAAGATTTGGTAGCCAAAAACGAAAGAAGAATTTTCTGGTATTAATTCACTTCTAATTTTACTTCGTTTAGCCATAAATTTGTTGTTTCTTGGCCTAAATAATTATGACACCACAACTGCCTGACTTAGTATTGATTCAAGGATGGTTGTACACAAATACACACCACACTTTTCAGACTTTTATTTGCATCAAATCTTAACCAATGTTTAGTTTTTCTCCCACATCACAATCATGCACCACTACTGTCACATAAAATGCATCATTTCCTACTGAGGCTTTGTGAGGCCTCAGTAGGAAATGTTTAGATCCGTTTTCCAGGAATACACTATGAAATATAAACTTTAAAGTTGAAAATATTCAAACAAACTTGACAACACATGAGCACGTTTTAACATCTGAAACAATGGATTTTCTCTCACCTTCACAGAATCTCTCCAGCAGCTGCTCTTTTGTCCAGTTACAGGAGGTGATGGCAAAGATGCCGCTGTCCTTAAGAGCACCTCTTAGGGTGTGGACATACAGTTTTTTGCCCTCCTTGTTGTCGTCTGGGTTTAAACTAATTGCATCAAACGTTCCTTTGTCAATGCAGACATCAAAACCTGCGAGTTCTCCACCACAGTTCAGGAAATCCGTCTCCTGAAAATAGTGGAAAGGTGAAAATTTGCTGGTTCACTCCACGGTAGGAAATGGAAATAGTCATGTTTCTACTACTTCTACACAAGCTTCAGAATCAACAGTGGCACTATTGAGAGAGCAAACCCTCTTCTGTGGACAGAGCACAAAATACCAGACCTCCAGTGTGAATGCAGCAGCCACATACTCAACAGCCGGGTCCCACAAAGTATGAGCTTCATGAAGGAATATCAACATTGGCTATACCTGGGCTTAGAAATCTAGAAATATTTTTTTGCAGATGACCAACATATAGGCATGTAGAACTAAAAGATGCTCAAATGTGAACTGAGGGGGACTTGAGATGGTTCCAGAACTATAACTGAACTATAAAAGGCAAACATGCTCTGATTATTTTGGCAACCTCCAACACTGCATAAATGATAGCGATGCCAACATTCCTCCCTCTCACATGCTCACACCACTGTGCTTCCCCCTGTCCAGCGGGGGTCAATATTGACTTTTGATGGCAGCCCTCCTGCCCGGGCAGAGAGCACACCTTTGTGGGTGTGTTCATGTAGAACAGTGGTGTTTAAAGTCGGTCCCTCCAGGAACCGCTGTTGTCCTGCGTGTTTTAGTCCTTTCCCTGACTCAACACACCTGAATCAAATTATGGTTCATTAGCAGGAGGCAGTTAGGACCATTTGATTCAGCAGTGTTGGAGCAGAAAGTCATCTAAAACTAGCCGGACACCCATGACGAAGCTGCAAACGCATGCACATTATGTGAGAGATAACAGTCATTACGCAATTTATGGACCACCATGCGTCTATAAGCTGTTTTGATACTGGTTTATGTGGACAGCGGTGCCACTTTGGTTTGAGGTGGGAAGACCTCCATTACCTTCAAGGCTTTTCCTTGCCATCTAACTACCCCACACGGTAAACACAGCAAAGGTTTCTCAACATTGGCTGGCTCAGACTCACTCTGTGCTGAAAGCTGTGCAGTTCTACATAAATGAATCCATATAAAGGGCATCAAAATAGTATTCATGCCTTCTAAAACTGTTACTGCCAAAGTTCCAATGACTTTAAAATAATTTTATGCGATATAAAAACACATCCTAAACCTTATATGTGAATATGAGACATGGTTTTAAGTATTTTTTTCTTACAGTATATATCTGTACAGATTTTAAGTGGACAACTTAGGTGAAGTGATTCTTAATTTTGTGAAAAAAAAAACAAAAAAAAGTTTCACATTGCCATGCAAATGTTCTGGTAAAATACTTCAAATAATTTAACAAAGTAAGTACCACAATCATCTGTGCATGACTTTTTCATCCAACATCATTCCTCCAGATCACTTTGATTCTCAGGTTGCCACTCTTCTGGAGTGACTAGGCAGATGCTTTTAATCTCAGCTGATGCAGAATCGTTTTACGTCTATTATTATTTTTTTAAGATGTCCCTAAACCTCGTCTAGCTAAGTGGCCCAACCACAGTTCATTTGAAACTTCCTGGCAGACGCTTTTGATTTTCTATGTGCTGGTAAAAAAATTTTATGCTGGTGATGCCTAACAACATGTTCACAACTTTTGCGTTTTTTTTTGTTTGTTTGTTTTAAAGGTCAAAACATCAGTGATCTCCAAAGATACTTCAATAAGCTGAGTCAAGATGATTCTGTGGGTTTGGTTGGCTAACTTCATGTTTGCTGACACAAGAAACGGTACTTTAAGATCACCTGAAAATATCTACAAAACAAACCTGGCATTTAATGTGGATTATAGGTGTGTTTGACATTGATAAAGATTTGTGTATATAAACAAAAAAGAAGTCATTTTGATTGTATAACTTTCTAAGAGTGCAAACAACTGTAGAGAAGCTGGGGAAGGGTATGTTTTGATGTCCATATTTATTTTTTTTCCTTTATAAAAATGACAGCGACACTCGTATGTTTTTCCTCACGCTAAGAACATTTACTATACCATAAACATGGAAGCCATTCCTTAATTATAAAGAATTATGAATATGACAGTCCAATTTCACATCTGCTGCACAACAGCTAATATCTTTAGCATCTCAGTGGACGTTTCTTTGCATTTATTTCATGTTCAGAGCTATTGATTACATGACAAACTTCAACCCACCTTTACAGTGACGTCAGTTAAGCCCTCTGCCTTCAGAACATTTCGGGCCAGTTCTACTGATGCTGGAGAATAATCTATACCAGTAAGGTTTCTGTATCCATGTTTTGCCTGAGAAGAAAAGAAAATCGAATTAAGATTAATGTTAGTAAAAAGTTACATACATTTTTTGTGAAAGGATAGGTTGAAGCACTTGTTCTCCTGTAAAAATTCTTTACCAAATACACAGATTGTTCAAATTCCTGAAGAGTTCTCGGAAGGGGAGGCATTTGTATTGCGCAAAAAATAAGCTTTGCAAAGAGAATAAACAATGTTCTCCTGGACTGAAAATGGGTCCAATAGGACTTGCTGACACATAGCATGTTAGTGGAAAAGTTTGTGATTTCTATTTTTGTAAAGTGAACCTTTTTAACCATTTAAAGACTAATTAACAATGTAATTGACAGAAAATAAAGATGTTTTTATCTTAAAATTGAACACTTTTAATAAAATAAACATTGTGTGGTTTTCTCATTTTTTGTATCATAATTGACACATCAGGCTTTCATCCATCCATCCATCCATCCATTTTCTTTACACCCTTGTCCCTTAGTGGGGTCGGGAGGGTTGCCGGTGCCCATCTCCAACTAACGTTCCGGGCGAGAGGTGGGGTGCACCCTGGACAGGTCGCCAGTCTGTCGCAGGGCAACACAGAGACAAACAATCATGCATATACACACTCACACCTAGGGGCAATTTGGAGAGGCCAATTAACCTGACATGTTTTTGGACTGTGGGAGGAAACCGGAGTACCCGGAGAAAGCCCCCGCATGCACAGGGAGAACATGCAAACTCCATGCAGAAAGACCGGGGCCGGGAATCGAACCCAGAACCTTCTTACTGCAAGACAACAGCTCTCATCAGGCTTTCACTGTGATGTAATTATCCTAACAGAAAAGCTGAATTTTGACAGTTTTGCAATATGGCACAATGAAATATATGTAACTTTTTACAATTTTAGCACTATATATTACACTTCTTTTTTCATGCATGTCACATTTTGATGAAAAATTTGTAAAATATATTAGCAACATATTTACATGTCAGAGCATTTTTTTTTAGTTTTAGAAAATCTTCCAACATTTTTAAAAGGTTTATTATCAAAATTATATATTTAGCAAAGACATGAAAGACATTTAAACTATTTTTTTTTTCACTTTGCTCACACCAGTTCAACCAAGAAGGCCCCATTTCCGGTGCCAATGTCGAGAATGGCAGCATCCTCAGGGATCTTAGCTTTCTGCATCCATCGCAGGACACGACTCATGCTTTCCTCACCAAACCTTAAAAGGAAAAAAAAAAATTTCAAGTTGCGGAAATTGCTGGTGAATATAGTTATGGTCATTTTTTTTTTTTTGTTTTTTGATAGATTTTGAAAACCAAAATCCAAAGAGTGCAAATAGACATGATTGGTTACAGTGCTGTTTTGCAAAGGTAAAGTTGTAAAAAAAAAAAAAAAAAAAAAAAAAAAGGAAAAAAAGTCCATGGAAGTTAACCACATCAGTAAATATGATTTCCAGATTCTACCACACTAAGAAGACTGGACTGCAGCGTGACTTGGAAGAAAAACCAAATAAAAGATTACATTAATACAAAAACATTCTTATCCATTGCTGCAACATGTTTGGTTAAATAATACGATTTAAGTGCATTGATATAAAAATTTAGCAATTAATATTGCTGTTAATAACGTGAATTATCTTAAACTTAAACTGTGAATGTTCTGTAACCTCTGCATACTGCCAGGATTCTCTTGCAAAAGAGATTTTTAATCTCAATTAGATTTTCTTGTTAAAATAAAGGTTGAATACGTTAAAAAATATATATGGTAAAGCACATCAAAGGAAATGTCGGACTTTGAAGAAGGTAATTTGACAAAATAACTGAAAAATGTTCAGAAATAATTCTGTTTGGTAATACTCTCCTAGAATAGAAAAACGTTTCTTCAGATTTGATGTCAAATAAAGAGAAAAATAGAGGTTGACTTTTTTTCCCCAACGCAATGATTTCAACTGTTCATTGCAACCTAGTTTGGCAAATCTGTTACTATAGTACAAAATAGTTCAGCATTTGAAAAGCTGTTCAAAAATCTATGCAGCAATTTGTGAATAAAGAGTGATTAGCACAAAAAAAAATACAGAAAACTTCTTCCTACCATATTTCGCCAACGTCTCCAATGTCTTTAAACGTCTCTAGCTCTTTCTGGTATGCTTCCTCCCAACTGTAGAATAAGAAAACCATTGAAAATCAGTGTAGTATACTCAAGAATGCAAACACTAAAATGCTGCAGCCTTATAAAACAGAAAATGCATTGTTTAGTGACGACATAGCGAGCCTATGCGTTTTAGGCCAATAAGCTACATTAACAGTTCAACTTCATTCTAGCTACTTATACCGATATCATATTTAAAAAAATGTTGTCCCCAGTGAATAAATGCATTGTCGAAATACTCTAGGTGACAGTTCTTCAAGCTAAAAACATGTAGCTCCCAGCTAACTGTCACGTTGAGCCGTCAATATCAAGCTTCATGCAAACATTAAGACAATCAACTCTTACTATTCTTTGGTTCCGAGTTTTGACGTTTCAAAATCATCATCGGAATATTTATCTTCTTCTGAATCCGAGCAGTTTCCACAACCATGTGAGTCCTGTCTAGCATCTGCCATGTTGCTGCGGGTTCACAGCAGTGGCAGCCTACATTTCCCACAAGGAATTGCGTCAAAGGAGCGTGTCCTTAAACGTAGGGGGCATTGGGATTGATAGGGATGTTTTCATCATGGCGGCATCCATTTCAGGCTACACCTTCAGTTCTGTGTGTTATCACAGCGCTAACAGCAACTCAGATCATGTAAGTTGACGGAAAATGGTCTCCAATGGCCACGGTTTAGTGCTCACGTAGGTCTGTGTAGTTCGTTGGTGTGTATTATGATTTATTGATAGCTTTAGTTTGTGTTGTTTTCCTGTGTCATCCTGGTTCCGTCTAACTACCGGCTTGTATGCTATGGTTAGAGAAACACGAAGACAGGATTGTCAACCTTCTGAAAATCTAATGTATTAAATTAGCAGGAAATAATGTGAATTTGTATAAATAAATGTAGGATGCTGTGTGCATAAACACCGGTTATACGGCTATACACACTTCTATATGGAAAGTTAGGTTTCCAGGAAATATCCAGTAGTTAGCTACTTAGCATGATAGCCAAAGTCAACTGACTTCCGTATATCGGTACAGATGATGTCTGCTCCTAACGTCGGTTTTTGAGCATTAAAATGCTGACTGTGTTTTTATAAAGGGGTAACACGGTTAAATGATAGCCGGTAGGATCGAATAACTAAAGTTATAGCTCTTGTTTCCTTGTGTCTTTTTAGCATAGCCAAATTAGCTTGTTAGCCAGTTTGCTAATAGCTATTGCTCAACTTGTTTTTAAATGCCACTCTGTTTTCTCTAGTTTTATTGATTTGGGTTGGTTGCTGTCAAAAGTCAAGAGTTACACTGTGTGACAAATGGAAGCAAAATAAACTTTTAACATTAAGGATCATGTCAGCTGAGGAAATATCAGCTGGTGTGTTTACATCTTCGAGATCTAAAAAGTGGGCCTTGATAGCTTTGTTCCTGCAAGGCAAAGTACAGGTTTAACTGCATTCCTGGCTAAACATCTGTCAGCTGTCATCTCTGTGCAGATAAAGGAATTGTATAGAACTGAGCTAAAGTTCAAGTAGCATTAACACAGTTTAAAAGAGTAAAACTTACGGCTTAGAAGCTGTGAAAAGTTATTGCATGTATTCTTTTTAAAGGCAAATGTATTCATGTCCCACCTAATGAATTACTGAAATTGTTGGTCTTAAATTTTATCCTGACCTCTTTTCACTTACAGTGCCTTGAAGTATTAATTCCCTTTGGACTCTATTCTTGAACCTACAAATTATATCAAGATTTATGTTATGGATCAAAACAAAGTAGTGCATAATTGTAAATGAATTGAGATGTTTTTGTTTTTTCAAAAAAAAGAGAAGAAAATAAGTACTTGTGGTATGCATTTGTATGTAGCACATACAAATCACAATCTATGTCGTGTTGTAGTTAAAGCTGCAGATGTTTTGTGGTATGTCTGTGGTAGTTTTGCATTTCCAGAGCCATACATTATTTCCTCTTCTTTGTAAAATAGCTCAAATTTTGTCAGGTTAGAAGGAGAGCTTTGGTTAACACTGATTATCATAAATCATCGTGATTAGCTGCAATGTTATCTCATCAGTATTTCTGTGCACTATTAAAGTGCAGGCTGTACTAAGCAAGCTTTAGGGTATTTTTTGACTTACGGTGGACCACTGCCTTTTTTTGCACCTTTGATGTTTGGCCATCGATGCCACACATTTTAGCTATTCTGTGTATTTAGGTCAGACCAAAAAGTCTGCTTACAGCTGTGGTTTGACATTTGGCTTTGACATAATTTGTTTTTGTCTTTCTTTTCCAAAACAATCTTAATGGTAAATGCCTCCAGGCGAGCAGCTGGGGGTATTTTCCCCCTCTGCTTAAACAATAGACACAGGAATGACGGTAAACGTGTATAGATGTCCACAGAGAGTCTAGTTTAAAGGCAACAGAAATCATGATAATACAATTTGTATGTATGTCTGTGTTGAAACAAATGTTTATCAAGCAGTTTTGTGAATTCAATAATTATGCCTCCACTTTGGGTCGTGAAAATGTATTTTGTTCTGCAGGAGGGCTTCCTATTAGGAGATGTAAGGCAGGAAGAGACTGTCAGCATCAGTGATGCACAGATTAGCAGTTCGGAGCTGGTGCAGGTAGTAGGTAAGCAGCTTAATAATATGGAAGTCAATCGATTTAAGCGAGTTAACATACCACAGTTGAACGGTCAACATTTTGCATATTTTTCTAGAATTTAATTTGACTTAAAGCAAGCAATCATATAAAGTGAAATGATGGCTTAAAAAAGTATAGTCTATTTGCTGTGTTTTTCCACACTTATCCTTGCATTTGGATAATGCTTTAAAAAGTATAGATATGATTACTTGTAACTAAAACAGATATTGTCGTTCTTTCCCTTGCAGAAATTCATAATCATGACCCTTGTGCACATTTATTTAGGTAAGCAATTGCTTTTTTTTATTTACGCTTAAACTTCTTTTGTTAAAATGCCTGATAATCTGCAGATTTATCTTTTGATAATGGGCTGCAGGATGTTTGGCTTTGTTACCTAAAGAAAACCAGTTTTTGTGCATGTAAAACCGTATCTAGTATGTTGGTGGGTATCTGCTGCAGGAACTCGATGCAAGGTGTCTTAGTCACCTTGTGATTTTAAATTGACAGTGGACAGTAGATGGCTCCCTCTGACAAGACTAGGTATCATTGGAGGTCTGGCAGAAGAGGAGTATGAATCTGATGAATAAATTTGAACTGACTTTGCCCCTCCCCCCTTCTTCTCAGCTTTTACGACTTTGCAGGTAAAGTCAGTGAAGAAAATCTCAACAGCATTCTTAAAGATAGGCGAAAAGTAAGTCATTTCTTTGTTTACATTCAGATGTTCTCTCCTTGATGGAAAAAACAACAAAAAAAAATTATTTCAGTGTTTTTATTTTTACTCGTTTTTATATTTTATGTATACATATTTATATTAAATTAACTGCAAACTGGGATTTTGACATTTCTCTGTATGGTATTTTAAGCATCTGACTGAAATCCAATTTCTTGTCAAACAAACGTATCTTTGACTGTGTAGAATGTCATCGGTTGGTATCGATTCCGGAGGAACACGCAGCAGCAGATGTCGTTCAGGGAGCAGATCATCCACAAACAGCTCACTCAGCTGCTCGGTGTGCCCGACCTCGTCTTCCTTCTTTTTAGCTTCATCTCTACAGCCAACAGCTCCACGCACGCACTGGAGTATGTGCTCTTCAGGCCAAACCGAAGGTGCCACAGAATCACATTATCTCTTCAGAACGTTTGTCTGATCATCTGATTCTTTAGCCACAGTTAGTTTTGTCTTTTTGCACATGTCTTGTTTGAATTTAAGCTTACACCTCAAATACTCCTGTACTTCTGGAGTATTTGGCGACACAGACAAATATATTGGCTCTTGTGGAAAACAAATCTTACATGCCTTAAAATGACTTCACCTTTACCGTAGCAGCATTATTTATACAGAAAAGATTAGGCAAAAAAATCCAGCCTGTTTATTAAAAGGCTGGGATCCAGTGGCGAGAAAAAATGGGTAACTAACTACCAAATGGTAATCCATAACTTTCTGTTTCTATAAGATGTATGCTTATATTCTTTTTAGCCTCTGACGGCTAAGCTGTAGCAAACCATCATTATCTCAGAATGTTAAAAAAAAAAAGACAAGTTGGGGTCAATGAGTCGCCTTCACAACCATTAAATCTTATCCGCATTCCGACTGGTTATAAGTGAGGTATGCAAGGCCAGTGCTGCTCCACCTGAAGCAAACCTAGAAAGTGTGTTACCTATTTTTCTTTGTTCAACCTTTAGTGGACTAATAGCATAATGCTACAAGCGATTATGCCTTATCAATTCTAGTAGCTTTAGCTGTCTGTATGATAATATTATACTACCTGTATTAGTCATTTACACTGGAAACGTAGGAAAAGGAATCATTAATTAGGTCGAGGAGTCGAGGCTAAGGTGTTGGGGAAAAATAAAAGCTGGAATGTTTGCAGATCAAATTTTAAGTTTAGTGTCAATTTTGTTGCAAACAGCTTCACAGCTCTGTTAGCGATCCCACCAATTTGACTCATTCGTGTTCTAATTTTAGACACTGATCTTAAGGTTCTGAGTTAAAAAAAAAAAAAAAAAAGCATGAACACAAAACCTTCACCTGAATAGTAAAATGTGTGTGATGTATTGCAAAGTTGTCATTTCGGTTGTTAAAAAAAATGAAATGGTTTGAAAAGGAGAGTTTTTTTTTTTTTTTTTTTACAGGGACTAACTGGTCATTTCTTCTCAGTAGGTACAACCAGAGGATTATACTCACGATCCCAAATCTCGGCAACACAAGCCAGCAGGAATACAAACTCTCCTCAGTACCCAACACCTCACTCAACTATGCCAAGGTCATCAAAGAGCACGGGTAAATCTCAGGCTCCTATTTTTATGCTACTTCTGAGCCACTGCTAACGAAGTTCACTTGGTCACTCTTATCTCCTGATATGTCAAAGTGCTGCAGCCATCTGTACCACTTTTTAAATTTCGTTGTTCTTGTGACAATGACAATAAAGATTTATCTATCTATCTATCTATCTATCTGATGGGATTCCACATGTTCACTTTGGGGACAGAATGTGTACAACTGTGATCAGAAAGAGCTTCGAAAACATGTCACTCCAGGAAGTTGCAGTGTTTTTTTTGTTTTTGTTTTTTTAAGAAAAACAATTAAGTAAAACTGAAGTAAGAGAGCACATTTCTAACAGCATTAATGACCATTAATATATTAACTATGAGAGTTTTTGCGCAATTTTTTTTTGTGTGTTTGAGCCACCAAAATAGTAGTAGATTGTGTTGGGTTCTTCGTATCGATGTCTCTCAAAGGAGATGACAAGTTTCTAGAGATCCAACAACAGAACCAACGGAATTTGTTTCTACTTGAGTACACAAAAAACTTGCACGTGGCATTTTCTAATGTCTTCAGTCAAGCCTGAAATTATTTTAAAGTATAATTTGAACATTCTTTCTGACTGGAGGAAGCAATATTTACGTTTCTGGGTTGCAGGGTAGCCAAACCAGAGTTCTGACTGGATACTAAATGTCTGTAGAGAGTTAAGTATTAGCAGTCATGCTAATATATGGCCAACAATGGTTTGACAGCTGTGATACTAAAAAAAATGTTTTCCATTGATTATTGAGAAGAGGATAATTTACTTTGAACTTGTCATATTTTTTAATTAAATCTGACTACAAAAACAAAAGGAAAAATAGTTTTCTCTCAAATTATACGACTTGAACATTGTGTTATTAATCTCTTGGCAGATGTCTGTGTAAAAAGATAACTTTAAATTTTAACTTGCCAGCTGTATTAGTAAATTTGGTGGCAGCTGTACAACGACTGATAAGGGTGTAGGAGTGCAACTGCTCCACCTTTGTGCAGTGGCATGCTTTTCGCTCTAAACATGAACATAAAATGACTTGCAGCAGCTGTTAATATTAGCATAATAAAAGAAAATTAAGTTGATCTGATCATGGGAACAGGTGTGTGTGTGTGAGTGAGAGAGAGAGACTGGCATCAATATTTATGTAAATTATTATTTAAATTGCCATGCTATTTTGGCTTTGGTATCTGGCTGCTAGCTCTTTCTTGTTGGGGTGGGTAACCCTAATTTGAATGCACTCGTCTAGCTTTCCTTTCAACACTATAGATGGTGTAGCACTGATGGCTGAGCCCAGGGGAAGGCTGGTATGCGACAGCCAGCACATGCGTTGGCTTGTGTCTTTGTGTCTAAACTTAGATCCACTGTTTCTACTGCAGATCAGCTTTGACCAGACCTCTTGGATTTAGTCAGGCCTTCCTGTCCAAATGTCCTCGCTCAACATGCAAAGGAAATCTTTTGCAGTATTGACATTTTAATGTCTTAGACAGGGCTTTGGTTGACGTTCCTTTTTTTTAATTAAGTCTGTACTTTGCAATCGTATCAGCAAAAACCAAAATAAACATTTGATTTTTAATATTTCCTCAGCGCCGAGTTCTTTGACAAAGATGGTGTAATGAAGGATATCCGAACAATATTCCAAGTCTACAATGCGCTACAAGACAAAGTGCAGGTGAGTTTCTTGGTAAATGTGTCGAAAATTTGCTTACTACTCGATGCAAAACGGTTCAGGCAGTAAAAATGCTTTTCACCTTCTTCTCTTATCCTCAGGCTGTTTGTGGAGAGGTGGAGCAAAGTGAACGTGTTAGAGAAAAACTTCAAGACGAGGTGAACAAACTCAAACAGCAGATCGCTCTCAGGAAACGCTTAGCTGCAGAGGAGGAAAGAAGTACGTATCCACTTTGGGCTCTAAAGACAAGATGAAGGACAAAAATGATACTCCTATTGTTCCAATAGATTAAATGCAGTGCCTTGCAAAAGTTTTTATACCCATAGATGGATAGATAAATTGCTAGATATCTTCCACCTAAACTAACAAGTTTATGTCTCACAATTTAGGTTTGATCAGGCGGCACATTGTAACTCTAGTAGTACTGAAGAGATTGACAGATTCAAAGGGATATCTCCACAAATCTGACCAATGAGCTGGATTGCAGAAAGAATAGAACCCGTTGAAAGAAAATCATAAGAAGTATCGTTTCACACAAGCCATGAAAGACTGCTACGAACATGTAGAAAGTGGTCTGGTCGTATTGTGACCAAAGTCAAACTTTCTGGCCAGGATGCTAAACATTGCATCGCTTAAAGCACTACATCATCATTAATACGCAATCACGCATGGTGGTGGCAGCGTCATTCTGTGGGAGTGGGCGTCACTAACGGGGACAGAGTTGTGAGAGTTGATGAGAAGATGTCGGTGTTGATGGAAAACATGCTGGAGGCTGTACAAGACTGAGGTGTTAAATGTTTGTTGTTTTCGAGAGGGTTAACTTGCATTACTCTGCCATTACCACTATGTTAGCTTAAAATGTTCTCAAAGCAGCAATGTTAGTGTTTACCTTAATAACATTTGTACAGGCCTGTACATGTGTTGTAATGGCCTAGTCAAAGTTCAGACCTAATCCATTTTGCTTGAAACTCAATCCTAACAGATGCTCTCCGTCCTGACAGAGCAAAGAAGAATGGGCAAAAACTTTCCTTTCACTTCATTAAGAAGCGTTTCTTTTTCTTGGTTTGAGGGTCTGACAACTTTTGCAGGGCACAATATCTGACAGCAAATGTTAGTTTAATTTCTCTAACACCACTCTAAATGCTTCACCAGTGGACGATTTGTTTTAATGCGTTTCTCCCTCCACAATGAAAACTTTGAGCAACTTTATCTCCTGTCTGTTTGCTGTAAAGGGCTCCGTGAGGACGTCCGCTCCCCGCCTGAGGAGAACACGGAACCGTGCGAGGCGGCCTCCATTCTTTCCAGAATAGCTTTTGACGCACCCTCAGCCCCGGAGCGACCCAGCACCTCACCAAACCCCCCGTCGTACACTGACCTCTTATCCCAAGACGACAATCTGCTCTCCTCCTCTTCCCCGCCAACCAGGGCCGCTCTGTTGCCTCGGCCCCAAGCCGTGGGCTCACCGGGTCACCCGTCCCCAGCCCCCGTCCAGACCGACCTGGGACTCGGTCTCAGGCAAGGAATGGGCCTCGGTGCCAGTTTGAGCCCTGTTAGCACTCCCAGCACCCCATATCTGGGCAACGGCGATGGCTCGAGCTCTGATTCTTTAGACAGACAAGCTGCTGGGCAAGAGGACGACGATGACGAGGAGGAGGACGAAGACGACGAGGACAGTAGTGAATACGAGAACTTGGTGAGCGAAGGGTCTCATTTGCCTCTGGTCTCAGCCAGCGTTTTAGCTCAAGGCCGACCGGCTGCCCTCGGCCCCGACGGCGACTCCCGCGACTCACAAATGACATAGAAACACGCTGCAGGATGAGAGAGGGGCGCGAGTCAGCGGCACACCAGTTGGTGGGAATCTGAAGCAATCAAAGATGAGCAAATGTAGAGAAAAAGAAGTGCCAGTCCTGAAAGTGAAAGGCATACACACATGGTTTCCATGTGTGTATGAACTGTGTAGTTCAGTCATATTTTAGGGGAAACCTTGCAAGGCTTTGCAGATATGTCTCACTGGGGTAAAAGGAAAAAAAACAACTTTTTTTTTCTTTTTTTTTTTTTTTTTTTTTTACATATATATATTCTTGAGGCCATTCAAGGTACTACAATGTGGACCTGTCTGATTTCCGAGTCAGATGTGGATTCCACAAAGCAATTTCTGCCAGCTGGTTGGCTAACTTGCTTGTGATAAAACGGCTCTACTCTCTACGTATGTTTTTCTGCATTCTTTGTGTCGCGTTTGCATCAAAGGCTGAAGCGTCGTTTTACTTCTTGCACAATTTATTTTTTCTTATTCCTTTTTTTTCTTTTTTCCTTTTGAGCAATCCCTTTAAGAAAGTAAAGGGACATGTTCTGCTGCCTTTAAACAATATTAAACAAAGGCAAATGATTACTGACTTATTTGACTCTGTTCTACAGCGTCCGATGATTAAAGTTGCCTGTTTAAACGATGAATAGATTTCAAGTCAAATTTACTCTGCCACTTCCATAATAGGTGCTTTATATTCATAATATGTACATGTATTGTCACATTAACAGTTTCTCTACTTTGAGAATATTAGTGACTCGTCTCTAGGATTTATGTTCACGTGTTTTGCTGCACTTAAAACTTAAGATTCCTTTCTATTTTTGCTTTACCAATGCTGACATATTGTGTTGTTTTTACAGTCTCGGCTTATTTTTTTTTTTCCTCCTCTCTGTCTTTATTTTCATTGTACAGGGTTCACGGGGCAAACACGGTGTACTGTAGCTTTACTAACAAAATGCTTAAAGTTCCCTTTGCTGCTGCAACACAGAGAGAGAGCCACTAGTAAAAGTTGCTTCTGTCTGTTCGTTTTTCATATAAACACCTGGCTGCTACCTTCATTTTTACCGTGCTGGTTGTCTCAATACTACTGACCGTGCTCATATAACCACTTCCAACACGCTTTATTACTGGAGCGTCTCTATGAAAGCTGTAAAGAAAGGCCTCTGGAGTGTGTCAATTTTGACAGTGGGAATGAATCTCTTTGCCTTCTTGTCTTTGCTTAGTTAACAACAACGCTAACGCATTCTCATCTGCTTGGGCCGACGTTGCGTGTGTGCACCTAGATAATGTGATTTTTTTCTTTTTCTTTTTTTCCATAAAACATGACCCTGCTTTAGTATACAGTGCCTTCCACTCTGGGCAGTCTGTGTCTGTGCTCAGAATCAAGATTTAAGGAGAGCAGTGAAAGTAGATAAACATCTTCTGTTTTTTTCCATTATCAGCTTCCAGAGGGTTTTTTTTTTGTTTTGTTTTTTGTTTTTTTACTTAAAGGTACTGCAACTATTTCTTCACTTCCTAAATATTTTCCATGTAATAGGCATGGGCCGGTTCAGTTTCAATAAAAAGAAAATACTACAGTATCAATTTATCTCAAAAAAGATTGTAAACAAATAATCTAAATCAATTCATTAACAAAGCAAAGGCAATAGTTTTTACTGCTACTGAAATAATCTTCCTATGTTGACTGTTACCGGTATAATAACACTTCCTGAAACCTCAGTTATTTTAATTTGGTGCATGGACTACTATGCTACTCCTTTTGTGACAGTGCCATGATTTATGCGTTAGTGCTGTGTGTGGTTTCCGTAATGGGAAATGGTTACAAATGGCTTAATTTGTTTGGTATAAGCAAGGGAAAAGTGCTGTAGTTTCTTTCAGGAAGCTGGCTGGCAGTGCACAGTAAAAGAGGAGAGTATCACCCTGAGCTCTTCTGTGCTCTACACAGCAAAGTCTGAAGAGTTTAGTTCATTAGGTCAGTAATTCTCAAAGTATGATAACCTTGAGTAAAGACAGTTGTTTCTGTATTTACAAAAACTAGATTGTTCAACATAACTAAAGAAAAAAAAAATACATAGAGAGCAAAAAAACTGTCCGCTTCTTAACAAACACGACTCCCTGAGAGCTGTTTACAAAATGTGACTTTATGAAAACTGGAAATATTTACAGATTGGATGTTATTCTTGCCATTATGAGGACTCTGAAAACTGCCATTTTCTTTCGCATATTTTCAATATTTTACAATATTTAAAGACCGTAGCTTTTTAAAACTTCAGAATACAATGAATATAATGTATATATTGGGTAAATGGCCCATGCCTATAGACTACCTGCATCCCGAGTTTATTTCTCTTGCTGTCTGGAATGACTTCTGTATCTTAAAGTTGCAATGTTGGTTTGGTTGCCTAATTGCTTGAAACTGGAAATGCAGCCAAGTCCAATGAACTGAGAAGCCTTAAAGAAAAAGTTGATGACTGACATTTAGATCAATGCGCTTGCAGACGGCGCCCACAGGAACGGTGGATAACTGGGTTGCGGAACACCTTTTGCATGAACCGGTGATTTCTAGACACTGTTAAATTTAGCATGGACTCATGCTTGCACTGCACCGGATACATTTTGTGGAGGGGAGAGGTTTTGTCTTGTGAACAAACTCGGCTTTATTTAGGCACTCGGTTTGTATGTCTTTTTTTTTTTTTCTTGTGTGTTTTGTTTTATTTTGTTTTCCCTTGCCCTGATGTGTAATGCTAATGCATCACTGACCAGGAACTGGCACTCAGAATGACCTAGAGTAACAATCGTGCAAAGAAAAATGAAATGACTTAAATGGGCTTTTCAGGAGTGCAATTTCCTTGGAATACTGAATTAAGGAAATAAATAATGAATGTATATTAGACAGTAGTGGATAACATATAAGCAGCACTTACTGTACTGTATAAGCTTGTCTCAGATGAGTGATGTGAAGGTATAGAGCAACATTTCTCAGAGATTGTCCTCTTATAATCTTTGTTCTTTACACCCTCTGATAAAAGTTTCGTGGGCGTTGGCCCAGGTGAAACCTGTGCAGCTCCCTGGTGCAGAAGATTGACCATATGTGAGAATCTACACTGTTTAGATCGACATGTTTTCAAGTTGCAGCATAATCCAAATGTATACTCACGTACTCTCACTGTACGAGGTGACCTTTTGCTTCCTCTGTGGAGTGGACCGTAACATAATCACCTCACCTTAAAGCACAAAGTTCAGTGCACACATCTTAAATCTTCTGGAATTTTATCTGGATTTGTGTATATGATGAAAGTTGACCAAGGACTTGTTTGGTTAAGCACAGAGAACGAGGTGGTATAAACCGAGGGATAATAAATAAGACATTCATATGTGATGGAATGTTCCTTTTGTTTTCTTACGTACGTAGGCTACGAGTTAACATATTTTGCTCATAAAATAGACGGGTATCGCAGTTATTTTGATCTCGTCTGCAAAATGCAGTTAAAATATTTGGTAACACTTTATTTGAAGGGGGGTGAATAAGACTGTCATGACACTTTCATAAACATGACATAACACATGTCATTAACATGAATAAGCCTTCATGAATATTTATGACTGTTGTCATAAAGCGTCATTCGGTAAATTATGACACTGATATAAATTTGTTATAAAAGTATTACTGATTGCACTTTAAAAATTGGGTAACTATGTTATTAAAGGTAAAGTTTAAACGGTAATGATTTCTTGGTTAATGTCAAGTTGTCATAAAGACATTTTGAATAATGTCAACTTTGTATTAAAAGTGTCATAATTTACCGAATGACACTTTATGACAACAGTCATAAATATTCATGAAGGCTTATTCATGTTCATGACAGGTGTTATGTCATGTTAATGAAAGTGTCATGACAGTCTTATTCAACCCCCTTCAAATAAAGTGTTACCAAATATTTAAATGATTAGTTATGAAGATTAAATTATAAAAAGAACAAAATATTTTTGAAATGTATTAAAATGTAAATTTTAATTAACATTTGAAGTCACTTGGATATTGTATTCAATAATTTCATGGTTTCTTTGTATCATGTAGTTCACTATGAAATAATTTAAAACTTTTTAGCACCTCATTGATTAACCTTAAAGTTTAGATCGGTTGTCTTGTCTACAGCTGTGTTAGTTTGGTAAATAGGATATTTACTAAGCTTTATAATTACTGTAATTATAAATGTATTATTTTTGTTGAAACATAGTGTTTTTGAACTGCCTGCTGTGCAATTTCAATTCAACTTTGGTAATTGAAAAGTGAAAAGACAGGCTGTGTTACAGATGGACAAACAGGGCTCACTCATGAACAATTGACTTCAAAAGGAGTAGTGCAAATCAAAAATGTATTTGTACAGTGTGATAAATGTAACTCCCCTTAGAATAACCCTAAAGATAACACAGGCTTGTGAGAGTTTTACAGTTAGTAAAGAAGTGTTGGCTCCACCTTCTGACTTTGATGGATAAGCGGGTAAAATATTTTTATGATGTGCGGAAACAAATAGCCATTAAATAATTAAATGCATAGTGAAATAACTAATGTATATTATATATAAAAATGTTTTAGCAGATGGTGTGTTTCAATTTTATGAAATAATGACTTATCTAGTTTTTTTGTTTTTTTTTTAATTGTGACACTACGATACTATTAGGCTACTGAAAAAGACTAAGAGACTGTTTTTTTCCCCTTTCTTTTAAAGGGGCAGTATTATATAAAATTGACTTGTTTGAGCTTTACATAATGGTATTCCCTCATCACAAACATACCTGGAGTGTTGCCTTGATTCTTTCATGCATGTTTGAGAAATACTTTAATCTGACTTGGCAAAAAATCAGTGGTGCAAAACACCTGGGTGGCTCGTGCACCGCCTTCGAGACACAGCTTCTCCTCAGAGATGCAGTTTCCAAGACACACAGAGCACCTTTCACCCACAACTACCCCACTCAGCTCCTTAAGACTAGCTGCAGGTAAAAAAAAAACATTGTTTGAGGTTTAGCAAAGGAGTCATTTGGCATTTCTATAACAGTTGAAGGTAACATAGTCACTTGATTGTGCTACAAATTGGCACTATGTAATACTGCCCCTTTAAAGCGCAGGTATTGATAAAATACAATTAATTGTTGAGTTACTGCAGCATGTGGCCGTAAAATAATTGTGCACTAGTAAAATAATATTGAAATTTGTAGTGAAATTCTTCTAATTGACTCTTCTAAAATATTTATAGTAACCTACATCCTTTTCTTAATTTTAACTTGGTTGAAAAATCATTTGTTTTTATTGAGTTGGGGCACATTTGTACTTCCATACATTATTCTTCGCAGATACATGAAAAAAAAACTGGTTAACAGTTAGATACAAATGCATATGTACTTTTCATGCAGATAAATATGTAGAATTGTAAGTGATTTGTTTTTATTATTGTGGTACTTAAGACCAGCATACATTTAATTTAGTGGTGAAAAAATATGGGTATTTAAAAAAAAACAGCCACAATATATCTATTTTTTCATGTGGCCAAATATTCATATGGTCAAATATTGGCTCATAAGTTGATAATTAGATGGTTTATTATAGCACTTTTAGACCTCCATACATGTCTTACTCAAAGCGGTAAAATGACTGTTTCTAATATTTTTGTTTTTTTATATCAGTAATAAACATTTTGCAACTGATTTTCGTATGCGATGCACAATTCAGAAATCTTATCGTACAGTTGACAATTATTTCGGACAGAGAACTGTTGCACAAGCTGTTATGCATTGCTGCAGACTGCTTGCTGCAGTATTTTTACGATGACATCATCCCTTTTGAGAAGATACCACGTGGCAGTTTGCCATAAATGCAACGTACGATGCACAAAATTAAATATTTTATTTTTAATCTCACTCTAGTCTAGAAAAAGAAAATATACATATAAAGTCTGCATGCTGCTGTTTTTATTGCTGTCACATTCATGTCTGTTTTGCATCCTCCGAGCCTTTTAACAGTTGGAATGGGAGACGTAGAATCTGATTGGTCATTGCCAATGGATACAGACAAAAACAACCAATCAGCGAAGTCGGGAGATTCAGGTGGTAAATCCTGATCCAGCCTCTGACTGTAACACGGCTCCGAGCCCTCTCTGCTCTCCCCTGTAGTGTATTTTTCAACCCTGCTTCGGCTGCTTCCCTCCCCCTGTTCCGCCGCCATTAAAGCCCGTCAACCTGGGATTTGATCGGCAAAAAGGATTAAAATGATTTGAAGCGTCGGAACCAGCAAAACAGGGACGGGACTTTGGGGGGGATATTGTTCATTGGACCTTACACTTACTGCCAGTTGAACGGCAACCTCCAACAGAAAGAAGTAAATATGCGGTTAGTGTCGTGCAAGTGAGAAAATCCCGACTTCGGACCGGAGGAGAGGGGTTCTCCGTCCGGGAGGGGAAGCAGCAGGACACCGAGGAGTATGAACACGGCAAAGCAGAGGTGAGGGTTAACATTGCCGTCTTCTTGTACAACTGACTCGGGCCTGTCAGGCGGTTACGGCCAAAACATAATCTGGTAATGTTAGCGGGCTAGCTCGGCTGTAATTTCTGTCTGACAACCGAACCAACGGTTGGTTGTTGTGATGTAAAATAGCCACCAGCTGCTAGCTCGGGATATAGCGTGACTGTAGACTGGGTAGTTAAACTATAGCTTCCAGGGGAAGGTATTAGCCGAACGGGCAGTTAAATTACTTTGTTTATTTAGCAGCAAAGTATTAACAACAGGTCTGAGGTCACTGGCTGGAAAATAAGGCAGTTTTCGGTGAGTCTTGTGTCTGGGAGCTAGCAGAAATTTGCAGAATTTCTCACGGTGTGTTGGTAAACTTAGAGGCGTGGTGTAAACACAGAGTAATGTTACTCCCCTTTGAGCTGCGAGGCAACTTCTTTCCAACAGCTCTCCTGTCTGAGGGACTGTGCAGGACGTTACAGGAAAGCGTGTGTGAGGTGTGGGTCCAGTTTCATATGATGGTAATAATTGACTGTGGGACAAAATCAGATCTGGGGTTATGGATGGGTTACTAAAACAAAACTGACTTTTCTCAGGATCCCTCATAAAAGAATAAAAAGTCTGGGGGACCACTGAGTTTTTCCTGAAAACCACAGAAAAATACATGCAAGCAGCAAAGTGGCAGAACAATAAAACACTGAGGCGTTCCAGAAAGTAGACCGTAAAAGTACAATAAATGACCACAATGAAACAACATAGCTTTACAGAAATTAAGCTTTGTAGGGACACAGAAAATATGCAAAAAAAAAAAAAAAAAAAAAAAACCACAAAAAAAAAAAAAAAAGAAAAAAAAAAATTTGTCCCGTCGG